AGTGTGTTATGAGTAGAGCTCGGATTTATATGCATTTGCATATTTGTACTAAGTGTATGCACGTCTAGAAGCTTTCAAAATGTCGGCTGTTCATCTCACACTGAATTTAAACACCAAATTGTATATTGCATATTTTGCATATTTAGAGGATTATTGCATATTGGTTCATAAATGCATATAACATGCATATTTAATGGGTTTTTAATAAATTACCTTTTTTTTTTTTTACTGTTTAAACCGACGGCACCGCTGGGACTGCTTTCGCAATACTCCAGCAAAAATTATCTATTTTAATTTAAGATAAATACATTTTAGTAATTTTAAAAGACAAAAATCGTTGACAGGGTCTCTTATTCTTTAAATATTATAATTTTTGCAACACTTCATGAGATTGGAGCACGAATAGATAATATTATATTAACAACAATAAATCACATACACCCGAATTTCGGCATACTATGTTGTTACTATTCAACGTGCGCAATGAATAAAGCAGTAACTCAATTTTTCAAATTTTTTTTTCAATTTATTTTTTTTTATTTTGATTCTTTTTTTTAAGTTTTCTGAGAGTTTTAGACATTGTATTTTAAACAATCTAAAATATGAAAAAATTAAGATTATAAAATATTGCATTTTGGTTTTTAAAGTATTAAATGTTTAACTATTTAATTATTCTTTTGTTTCTGATAGAATATCTAGTAGGTGCCTACTTTCCTTGGTGTAAAAATGTGTTTTCTTTTTAAAAAAAGATCATATTTTATAATGTTTAACATATGGCATATAATTGCATATTGAGCCACTTTTTCCTTGCATATTTGCATCATATTTGACACTTTTTAAATGCATATAAATCCGGGCTCTAGTTATGAGCATTTTTAGTTTACGCTATATTATATACGTATAACTTGCTGCAAAATTGAACTATCGTAAAAAACCAACATACGAACACAGATAATGTTCTTACCATCTAGTTTCAAAATAGGTCGATTCATTTTAATTTTGAAACTACCCTAATTAAACACGACCTGTTGAACGTAAATTTAGTATGGTACGCGCTTGTAAGGCGGAGACATCCTCTTAATATAATATAAGAACTAATTGACTAGAAACGTCATGAGAGTACACGGCATAATTTATGAGGTTCCAAATTCAAAATCGTTGAGGTTGCGCGGTGCACACTTAAGCCCCCCCCCCCCAGTTAGAGCCTATTGATATGTTTAATGTATATTATATAATATATAGAACATAGATTATAGATATTATTTATTTGTTATTATATTATATAGGTACTGAGCATATTTAATTTTCAAATTTCAATTAACAGCCATAAAATGAGTAACAACATACGAAAAGTAGGTACCTACCTATAGACAAATATAACTTTCCTACTCTCACTCATATGATATTTTAAATGACAATAATTGTATTATTATATATACCTAAGTTATAACAGTAGTATAAGAATCACATAATATCCTTATTAATTCTTATAGAATATTTTACATTTTTGTTGGAAATTTTTTTGTAATAATTACTAATTAGTTATATAGTTATAATTAGTTATTAGTATATTATACGTAAGCATTGTTGCAGTCTTGCAGGCATATAATATATAAATTAAACAAGTTATAAAGTTATTATATCATAGGTATACCCAATATATTATACTCATCATCATCATGCCTACATGTAAATACAGGACTCGGCGTTGTACTATAAATAATATAATATATAATATATAATATATATATAATATATACGTATTTTGAACGGTTCGCTAGAATAAATCGATTTGTAGGTAATAATATCAAAATAAAATAGGTAGGTACGTAGTTTCCACCAAAATATTTCATCTATAGTATTGGTTTTGCAATGTTTTCTTACATCGTTTGTTTTAGTGTTTGCAGTAGCTGGTGTAGTGCATGCAATATATTATGTAGGTACCCAGAACCTACTCACGTGAACGGGTGAATACCTTTTCAGAGTGCTCAACAATAATAATGAACAATACAAATTACAATGCATAGAATTAATGTAATATACTCATATCGTATTATGTTAGGCATGTGTATGTTATTTTTATATGAACGACCACAAAATTGTATGCATTAAAAATATTTTATTGTTTTTATTTACCTCAACGGTTTTACCGAAAATATATCGAAAACGTTTTAACGTGTTATAGATATAGGTATAGTGGTGATTTACATATATCACAAATTTGTATATAATATAATATTATAGTATATACACACGTGATATCCATTAATATCTGGATTGATAGCCTGGTTAGAATAATTGAACCCATTTAAATTGTTTTCTATAATAAATAGATATTGCTAATTTAGCATATGCCATATAGTTGGTATAGCTGGCATGTATCCTTTCCACCAACATTTAAAACGATATTTTCTGCCAATTTTAAAAAAGGTTTGATTCCTATTTTCTCCAATATGCCTGGCTCCTGCTTTGGTAAAATTATTTTAGGTAATAGGTTAGTACCTATATGTATTCCATAGTTTTGGAAATTTTGCAATTTAATTCAAAAATAATATAATACCTACTAATATTAATAATAATAATAATTTGAATACATAAAGTTACTATATACATATAGGTAGGTAATACAAAATGTTTTTTCTGTTTGTTCAACATAGCTTCTATTAAAAAATAATAGCTAATAATTCATATCAAAAAAAAGTTATATAGTGTATTATATATTATTATATGAACCTTAAAAATGATAAGCAGCATACTAAACAAGCCATGTTAAATTTAAATAAAAGGAAAAACAAATTTCTTTGATTTTTAGTTAGTAACTAAACAAAAACAAGTTTCACAATATTTTGATCATATACCAGTTAAATTGGCGGAAACGGGAAAATCGAATATTTTTTTATATTAGTGGAAACGGATAGATAATATAATTTTTGCGCAAACGACCAACGGGTATAATTGCCGGTAATTCAATACTCGTCACTCGAGTTCAAGCGTACGAGTTACGACCTATAGAGATGTTATTTTCATAGTTCAACAACAATGACATAAATAGTAAATACATATACATAATAAATAATAATATTATAATTTTATGGTACACCGGTCAGTATTTTTAACATATTAAATACATGATGTATAGAATATGTATAGATGGCTTATGCCTTATTGTATAATAATATCTATATTTTTTTGTAGCAATTCATAAATTATTAATTTTAAACAGTTGACATTTTAATCGATTCTATCTATAATTTTATTTTTATACTCCGCGGTCATACCACAAATATTCTGTAATATAATCGGTTAATATTTTATATTTTGTTAACCGTATTTGGTTACGTTTATATTTTATTATATTTATTACATATTTTTAAGTATAAAGGATAGTAAATCAGACGTTCTGTTGCAGTAATGCAATCTCCTACAAGCACACATTATATATCGTGATGACTGATGGCTATGATAGGTCTATATATATAGGTTACAGGATTATATACAAATAGATTTGTAATAGTGTAATTAAATAATCATTATAATTTCATTTGTTTGCCATAGGTATATAGGCAGTAGGACGTAGGTAGGTATGTCGTACACTCGTATATCGTATAAGTATAAAACTATAAAAAGGTGCATCAAACCCTCACTTGTAAATTTGCATTAACATGGCCTGGGGTTCGGTTCAATTTTTTTGATAATAAATATTTTAACGTTTATAATGTAACATTATTTTTCTAGGATTAAGTCGCAGACTCCCACTTCCCAGGGTACACGAATTTAGAGTTGTCGATCAAAAGGTAAACGCATACCGCACAGGGTGAAATTACATTTCACTAAAATTATAGACTATAGCAGTTACGTGTACACAAAATATAATTTATTGTATATTATAGTATACATTCGAGTATTCGACTGCATATTATATTATGTTAACAAAAAGAAAAACTCGTCCTAATAATACTATTTTATTCGTTAACTGTTAAGTATTAACAAAGGTACAAGTGGCACTCATATGAACATTTAATAATAATAATATTATATTATATTATTATTATATACAATATACACATTAGTACAGGTACGACCTTTGTGTTTGCGATCACGTGCATAATATTATTGTAGTATGACTATTGCCGATAAAAAATAAAAAACATGGCCCCCGATAATATCATAGCACTATACAACGGGACAGGTATTGAGCATATTGAGGTATTGTCACCGTATTCTGTATAATTTTTATTATTACAACACATCAGGACAGGCCTCGGGAGCGCGCCCGCCGGCCGCGTGCATACAACTACGACGGCCGCTCACTGGCTCACTCGCTCGTCGTCTCCGCCGGTCGGTCGAAAAAGGAAAGGAGAATAAATGAAAAAAAAAATCGTTAAAACGCAGTTGTGGTAGACGGCAGACAGACAGTGTGTAGAACGTGTATAGTCGTCGTACGTCCGCCCGCCAGAGAGACGCGCGCGCGCGCCAGATCGATTATATCGAGTTATTTTTCCATGAGCGTCACGTTGGCGGCCTGACGGGTGCGGCCATATTTCCAGAGAGACCATTCGCGAGTCGGCGACGGGAAACGACGTAACGTCCGCTCACAAACCGCATCCACCGCCGCCGTCGCCGCAACCCAACCGCGCGAACCAACGAGTACGCCGCCGCCGTATCTCCGGGATTTTTTAACATTTTAATATTTTTATTATATTTTAATCTCGCAACCGTAATATTTAGTCGGTTACACGTCATAATACCGTATCGTATTGTCCGTCGTCGTCGTGTTCAACGCAGTGGCAGAGTGATATCGCACACGCGTTTCTGTCGTTCGCCGTCGTCGTCCCGCCAACGATCTCTTGCGCGTCGGCCGCCGTCGAGTCCCGACCAGTATCCGTCTTCCGGTGAGCGTCCACAAGAGTGCTGTCGTTGTCCGACGATAAACCGTCTCCGTTCGCCCGCCGCCGCCGCACCAGCAGCAGCTGAAAAACCACGACCACACAGCCTTCACCATGTCCGAAAGAGAGGAAAACGTGTACAAGGCGAAACTCGCCGAACAGGCGGAAAGATACGATGGTGAGTGCACACGGAGTCGTGGAAACTTGCAACGTCATATGCGATTGTGTGACGTTATTTTTTTTTTACAAAATACGGTTCCGACGACCTAATTGATTTCTCGGCGACGTCCGCGAGTTTTTCCGTCGAAATTTCGCCGTTTTCGGCCTCCCCCCTCCATCGCCAAAGGCCACCCCGCGTTTTACTCGTTCGTTACGACCGCCCGACGCCGTCGCCGCCTTCTACGCCTTGCGCCCAAATAATCAATACGTAGGATAATAATCGGATGCACTATATATATATATATACATATATTATATATGTAATATTAAATATTTTTATTATTACTATTATTGTTACCTTCTGTTATTATATTTTTTATTTTCTAGGTTAGCCGCATCGCGCACCTATGTAACGGTACGTGCGTGTGTGGGCACAGTAGTAAAATATTTTCTTTATTATTAAAATTATTGCTCGACGATCGTGGTTTGTACCGTTAGACGTCCGAGATTTCTATCGCGTGAAAAAATTCGCGCACCATCTATTGGTCGTCACCGTCGCCCGGACGCGATATGATATCGCTCGCGCGACGCGGTGACGCCACCTCGGCCGACCGTTAATCTTCTTCCCACACGGTGGAATTTCACCCGTTGTATATCGCTCGCCCGTTCTGACCGCCGTGGCCAGACGCCTCCGCCACCCCACCGCTCCGCCATCCCGCCGCGACGCCGCCAACATCAACTATCACCCGAGATGCGTAGTCTTTTTACGATCGTCGGTGGCGGTTTTCACTGGGGGGGGGGGGTTTCCAGTGACCTCCCCGAATCCCGGTTTTTGTCCCAAACAAATTTATTAGAAAAAAACTAATGACGTATAAACATTTACCTAATCGATATGTGCAAACTTATGGAACCGTGATGATGTCGTTTAAATATACAATAGGTGTTGATCTTATTAAATCTGTCCTAAAGGTATTTTTAATGTAAAAAAAAAATATTGTTCAATATTTTATAATATCCTAAATGGGATAAATTAGGCATACCATTGACATGGACTTATTTTCCTTATATTTACCCTCGTATTCATCTATTTAATAGGTACCTACAAAAAAATGTATATTTATTGGTTAGATATATAAAACATCTCAGAGAATCAATTTTTTTTTAGTTTTACTGAGATTTTACTGTCTACCTACATATTTGAAATATGTAAACATGTTATTTAAACAGAATCTATCTAATATTGATGATAAAATACCTGTACAAATTAATATAAATGTACCAGACACCTACATAGTTATTTTCTGAATTTTAATTAGGCCGATTCTTTATCATCCATTCCTTAATTCAATGTATCCAACACAATTATTTAACTAAACCAATAAGGTACCTAATATGGGTTATAACCAGAGTTAGGTACTACTTACTATTCATTACTTGGTAGGTAGTAAGTTAGACGGCATATTATATTTTATATTTTAAATTAGCAATAATTTTCTTTAAACCTTCAAAGATCGACGAATATAAAAAGTACTCTATACCTAGGCTATACTAACTCAAATACAATTTATAAAAAATAAGTAGAAGTAGGTTATTTTATTAAAATGTAATTTACAATTTATTTTGTGTACATTCATATTTACATGTACAAATATAGGTTGAAATATTTCTGTTATAATATTATGGTTGGGCCCCTAAGATATCTTACTAATAGTTTGAATTAGAAAGTTTTTGTCTAGATTTTTAGCAAATATAATGTTTTATTAATGGCTTTAATCGTTCATGATACCTAATTAAAAATAAACTTATTTGTTGCTTTTAGTATGTATTGCTATGCTAGACTTTCAACAATAGACATTTAAAATCTGTAACTCTAGTAGTAATTAGTATGAAATATCTTAGAACTTAGGAGAGTACCTACTACCTAGTATGTTGTAGTATTAGGTAGTGTTAATGTACAAGTACAAGGTAATATATTTTAATTATATCAACGTTTTCTTTATGAAATGTATTGCATAGAGGTGTTGTTTAAAAAACTACTATAGTTACACAGGTGCTGAGAATTTATATTTTATACAGGTATGGTTTTAAATTAAACAGCTACGGCAAAATAATTAAATTATAGGTGCAAAAAGTAGGTACCTATTTATTTTTGCGTGAAGAATTTTATTTTAATTACCTGAAGACTAGCTAAATTTAAGAACAGTGCCAGTATTAAATTATTGCATTTGAAAAGATTATATTGAGCAGTTTAAATATCTACTGTTTGTGACTTTCAGAATTCATAAAAAAAAAAAAAAAAACAACAATACCTAGTTACCATTTTTTAAATGTATATGTACGAATCACAACGTATATAATATATACTATTTGGTATGTATGATATATCTTCAGATATTTTGTAAAAGTAACACAATAATATAATTTTAAAAGTAATAAAATATTCCCAGTTATTATTCAATGTTTTTTCCAGTTTTTGCTCTTAAAAAGTTAAGACAACTAAATAACAATAAGTAAATTTTCATATTAATGTAGATACCTATGTATTTACTTATTTAGTATTATTATTTCGTATAGGTATTTAATACTTACAATTTTAATTTATATCAGTACTTATGTTGGAGTAAATATTAACGTTTCCTTGTTTTATACCTACTTAAAACTTCTAAATCATTTGTGAGACGGTATACCTATAATGTGAGTAATAACTTGCCTACTTTTATTACAGAACTCTTATTAATAACCCTTTAGTAAACCTTGTTAATAAGTATGAGTTAGATAGGTACCTGAACGAAATTGTATTTTAAGTGCATCACATTAACAATACCTATGTTACTGCGTTTTAAATAATGGGTACCTAATAGTAATATTAATTACACTGTTACATTATACTGCCATTATACTTTAAGTTAAGTTTTTCGTTTTGTATTTCAACAATTGTTTCCTACAGTATACCTAATTATAATTTTTTTATGTTTTTAAAAATAAACAAGACAAAAACCAGTTTGCTTTTTTTTTTTGCACGCCCAGAGCATTTCAGTATGATGTATTTACTATACTTAGTAACTCCACTTCTACTGTATTCTTACTACTTTTTTTATTGTTTTATATTTTAAAATGAGTTAAAGTATAAGTAGGTATAGAAAAAAAAAATAAAATTATAATTGCGACTTTTAAAAATCAAAAAATAGTGTCACACTTTTTCAAAGTAACTAATTAATGATGAATCTTCTTAAACACAAACTATCAAATATCAAAATATTATTACTTTATAGTAGGTACTACACTAACATACATTTGACATTACAGTACTAAGCAGGTGTTTATGATACATTCTCTTAGTACATACCTATTTAATTTTATTATTTACAGAATTATTAATTACGATATGGATGTTTACTTAATTAAGTTTATTTACCAATAAAAGAAGTTATTATTTTCACAATTTTGAAATTCAAATTGGTTTTTTTATTTTATGATTTATGTTGTTAATAGATTAAAAATTTAGAGCATTTCTGTTAAAATGTTATACAAAAGGTTGTGTAGATATATATACGCAGTGGCGTATTTACGAGGGAAGATCAAGGGAATCAACCACCCCCTGGGTTGTATATAACATGCACAATTTTTGGAGTTTTAACTTAAGGCCTCTAGCTTTAAAAGCGGGGCTACTGGATCAAATATCATATCCCCCCCCCCCCCCCCATGACAAAAACCTAAATATGCCACTGGGAGATAGGTATACTCCGTTATAACGTTATTTTTTTTACTCCTTAAGTTTGTGGATTTACATGGGTTGTATAACATCAAAATCTTTATAAATTTAATTACCATAAAAACTCGATGCTCTTTAATATTTAGATATATGCGGGAGTATACTTAATACTTACTTGTTTGATATTGTGGATTAATTCATTCATATCCAAAAATAATTTTTGTTAAAAAACATTTACTACCTATTTTTAAAATATGTATATGTTTATTAATTTAATTTTTACGTAGATAGGTACTTCAGTGTTTTTAAGATTATATAGATATAGCAACCTAATGAATATTACATATAATGTACATAACTACTATTATTCAGTATAATTTAAATTACTAATAGTAATTCAATTTCCTTGATTCTGAGGTTATTATATAGTTATCTTGAAAAATAACGAATGCCAAATTAATCTAATAATATCAAATAATAACTAATAATATTTATAAAATATATTTCTTAAATAGTTAGAAGTACCTAATCTTTTTAACTTTTCCATTATACTTTTTTTTTATTAAAAACCAATAGATAATGATAATTTAAACAATTGAATAATAACGCTATTAATCTCATTCTTTTGCCTAATCGTTTCGTATATAATTTCATGAATTATTAATGAACAGCACAATACCTATTTAGGTTTTTAATTTAAAAAAAAATACAGGATTTATAATGAATAACAATAACATTTTCTAATTTAAATTAGAATTTGAAATTAGGTAGGTATGTATAAAATATAGATTAGTTTTCTTCTTCTTCTTCAAAAAAAATATTACCTCCAAACTGTTATAAACTACCATTTTATTAAAATGTGTTAGTTATTAATACATATTTCAGTGACCTGGAAGGAAAAATCAATATTAATTACATTTACCTTTTTTAAATTCTCATTTTACATGATTTACCTACTATTTACAGTTTTGCTATTTACGAGGCTATTTATCTAATTTTTAGAGAAAGGTTCAATTTTTAGGTAGGCTCAACCGAATATCTTATGGGTGACAAAAATATGAAATTTGTGAATACTAAGTAGTTAACCTTCTTGCAGTATATTTTACAACTACAAATTATTACCTACATTTTTTTAAAAATATTTTAACGCATCCTCACATTTTACTCGATTGTAGTTGATTTCCCCTCTCCCCCTACGGGTAATTGGTATGTATTTACTGTTTCCTCTGTGCTTGCCGAAGTTTACTAGATAGCGATTAAAATCCATGTAATATTATATTAGTTATATTTACACAAAAGTAATGTACACCAATGACCAATGTGAGTTGACAATTTTTCAACCGTACAAATATTTCCGAGTGATGTTCGAATTTCGTAAACCGTTAATATGGTCGGTCAGCATAATGATATTATATACGTAGGTACTCTATTTAAATACGTACCGTCGTCTTTTGAAGAGTAATTTTTCTGTCACTAAGCCAATGTATTTAATTTAGCTAGCGCGGGCGTGGTAGATTGGCGGGACGGGGGTGGGGTGTGGCGGTGCCCGTACCAGTCTACAGCGTATAACGTTGCCATGGCGATGGCGGTCTCCCCTTCATGTCAACTTTACTAACGTTCCAATGTTCCGTACCCAGGCGTCGTCGTGTACACCTCATGTACGTCCCGATGGTCTATTGATCTGCAAGCTAAACTTTTAGCACAGACATTGTCGCTGATAAAAAAAAATTGTCACAACCACCTACGAAATCATGTGTGTTACACATTATATAATGAATTTATAACAAATCGATTGTTGCGCCGTCGTTGTACCGCGATAACTATGGTGGGCGTGAGTGACTGAATATTTAGAGTCGAAACACGATATTTTGGACGTGCCCGTTTTGGCCTGTAAAAACAACCGTGTTGGTCATCTTTGTTTCGTTTACACAATTACATAATGTTTGTGTTAATCGTGTCCTGATGTCATAAAAAAAGTTTATTTTTAACCCGAAAAACCTCAAGGTTAGGTCAAAAAAAAACCCATCATTATCATATCTACGTGTTTTTACCTTTGTCTTAATCTCTAGTGTAGAATGCAGTTGACAATTATTAGTTAGTATGTGATGTGTCGTGTATATTAATTATTATGTGTATCGAAGTGCAAAAACATTTTGCTGAACTTTACAATACATAATACGTACACACCACACATACATGCTAGCGTAATTTCGTTTCATCCCTGTGTGAATTATCCGTATATTTGGTTATCATAAAATAATGTACCTATTACTATTGGTTTTAAATTTATTTAAAACTCAGTCGTATTTTTTTTTTTATGTTTAGTTTATCATATAGGTAATAAGTTAGATAATATTGGAAAAATAATTTTTATGAGCATTGAATTATACTTAGGTACTTATAGTTTGTATGAATAAAACCTTCGCATCTAGTTAAAGTTTCAATTCCTATTTTTTGAATTTTTTTTCGTCTAATTAAATTTATTTAATATTACTGTATTATTTTTATTACCTATATTACCAATAATAATATCTACCTTTAAGAGGATATCTCATATGATTTCTCTGTCTTATTAATACATAGCATGATTTTATCCTAAAAAAACCAGAGATAAACCAATTTTACTCAGTTTTTTTTTCTAATATGTAATACGAATAATATTATAATGAATACCTAGTATGCAATTTAAAGGTTCAGATATTATCCAGTAGTTTATTTTTGATATTTTTAAGCACATTTTGAGCATACAAATTTTACAAAAAATATTCTATTTTATAATGCTAATAAATTGCTTATAAGTTAAAATACCAAAATAAATTGCCATTGGATAATAATAAATACTTACCATTAAATTTGATGGGTACGATTCCTTTTATATGAATGGAGGCAACTAAATCCCAATAAAACTTTATAGAATGAATTAAGTCCCGGGTTGTATAAAGCTACATACTAATTGAGTCCCTAGAAATTTAAAATACTATACTAATTAAGTATGTTTAAATACTAACCGAGTTTCAATATTGTTACTAATTAAATATTATTTTTAATTTATAGAAATGGTAGAATCCATGAAAAAAGTAGCATCGTTAGATGTTGAATTATCCGTAGAAGAACGAAACCTGTTATCTGTAGCATATAAAAATGTGATTGGAGCTCGGCGTGCAAGTTGGCGCATAATTTCAAGTATTGAACAGAAAGAAGAGAACAAAGGTGCTGAAGAAAAGCTAGAGATGATCCGCCAATATAGATCGCAGGTATGTACTGCTCAGACAACCTACACTTATTAATTATATGATATACACTCAGGATTAATTAATATTTATCAGTTAATTAAAATGTATTAATAAAAAATAATTTTAACTGATATACAGGTTGAGAAAGAATTACGGGATATTTGTTCAGACATTCTAAATGTACTTGATAAACATTTAATAGCATGTGCTGCTTCTGGTGAATCTAAAGTTTTCTATTATAAGATGTAAGTTACCTAAATGTACTATTGATCTATGTAGAAATAGTTTTTATAAAATTTAAATGACTTATACACTATCCTGATATTTATCCTATTCTAATTATTAATGTGTTATAAATCATTTCACAGGAAAGGTGACTACCACAGATACCTGGCCGAATTCGCTACTGGAGATGACAGAAAAGAAGCCGCTGAACATTCTCTGGTCGCCTATAAAGCCGCTAGTGATATCGCTAATCAAGACTTACCTCCTACTCACCCAATAAGGTATTATCATATATATAAAATGTTGACACCATAAATATTTACAATTATATATCTGTAAATAATTTTAAAAATAACATTATTCCTAACAGGTTGGGTTTGGCATTGAATTTTTCTGTATTCTACTATGAGATTCTCAACACACCTGATAGAGCTTGTCATTTAGCTAAAAAAGCTTTTGATGAAGCAATTGCTGAATTGGACACGTTATCCGAAGAGAGCTATAAAGATTCTACACTTATAATGCAGTTGTTAAGGGACAACCTAACCTTGTGGACTTCAGATATGCAAGGAGATGGTATGAATGAATATAAATAAACCATGTATTCTTTTTTATTTATTTTCAAATTAATTATTTTTCTTAGGTACAGAAGCTGAACCTAAAGAGCAGCTTCAAGATGTTGAAGATCAAGATGTCTCATAAATGCCTTCTGTGACTGCTCTATAATAAAATAACTATAATTGTCATCGAAAAAAAAAACAGTGTCTGTGTACAAATAATATCAAATATGAAAACATAAAAAATATGCATTCAATAGTTACAGCCCTAAAAGTAAAGTAAAGCGACTCACTCCAAGACTGTCAAATTTTTTTTTTCGTACACTTTGATTTTACTTTTATCTCATTGGCAGGGGAACATGCGACAGCAATTTTGGTTTAATCTTATACAATTCCCAAAAATTAATAATTCGATAAAAAAAAAAACAAATTTTATGTCTTTCTGTTCAGTATTATGTGTTAAAAGTTTTATTTTTGTATTTAAATTATAAGGCTTTTTATTATTTTTTTAATTATTTTTTTTTTGTTTTTTTTTTTCTAGAAAGAAAAACGATTAAACAAATCGTAGCTTACCTCAATTCTTTGTGTTGATTACTTAAGAGAGTAACATTTTCTTTCTATTTTATACTAAAGAATATATATTTATACAAAACCATCACTCAAAAATCTCATTTAGAATTCAGAATTAATTGGTGCATTGGGTGTACCACCACCAAAGTCAGTTCCTGTAATTAAACCAGTGTTTTTTTGTTATTCGTTTATTACATTTATTTACTTTAATATTAGTAGATACAAAACCTAGCATGACCAATTATTATATTTTATTACTTTTTGGTTATTGTTGCACTTTAATTTTCAATGGTAACAAAATAAAATTAAAAAAAAAAAAAACATTTACATGTAATATGTATGAAAATTGTACAAAGAAAAATGGAATCAAAGTGTACCGTAGTGTTCTTATATAATATTTAGAATGATTTTTTATTTTATACATTTATTTACTTTTATTTTTATTTTTGCCAAATTCTCACCTTAACATACTAAATTAAAATACCATACTTATTTATATATATGCGTAATATATATAAATATGTATGCTTTTATGTCAATTAGTTTTTACTTTTATAACAAGTATATAACTTAGAGCATGAAGTATTTCGGGATCATTATATAATACTAATTTCATCGTAAATTTCTAAAATCTAACCCCTGCCTCTTATGATACCATTATTTAATCCACTAATTCATAACGGAACAATAGTCTCTACTTCTCGAACATAATTTCAGCAATAATTAATTGTAGTACTATCTTTAATGATTTTTTAACATCTGTAAAGCAAAGAAAACAAGTGCAACATTTTGAATGTTTTCGTCATTCCGTTTTCTTAGATAAAAAAAAAAAAATCCGTAGGTTATGTGTTTATTATAGAATTATTATAGGGTTTATTATAATATATGATAATTAACTATATAAAAATTTTGTTAAACGAAGAAAAAAAAATCGTAATGCTTTATCATCAAGTTTTTCCCTAAAAGATTTTTTTTTGTTTTATAAACTAGATATTGTAACTATTAAAAAAAAAAAAAAACAACGTCTATAGTATATACTGTGCGAATAATAATAACATTTAAACGATGATAATTGATAACAATATATTATATACGTTTGTTACGCTCTATTCTGTTTATTTATCGTATCGCACGAGTCTTTATTGATAGCATTTCGAGTTTTTTTTTTTTTTTTGTGATATTTTTTTTCTTGCGCTGTAATCATTTAACTACATGTACTGACAATACTTGTGTGTATTTTTTTTATCGTGTGTGTCGATCACATCAAATACGGACCAAAATGTTTACAGTTAAAACTTTTGAAAAAAATAATGAAAAAACTTACGTAGTTCTTAGCCACCTATCGATTATTTAGTCTTATTTATTGTGTAGATTTTTTTTCTACTTCTCAGTATACGTGATTATTGAAAAATAATAATAAATATTTGAAGAAACTTATTTGACAGTGTTACCGGAGCGCGTTTCCTTTGCCGCCCCGCCAGCTAACAGGAATTTAAATAATCTTAATTATATGTATTCAACACTTGAACAACAATACGACTATAGTTTAACTAGTGTGTGTGTGTGTGTATGCGTGTGTGTGATCTCGCTCGTGTGTATGTAGGTCAGGGAACCTCTGTACTCTATACTCCTACGTCCCACCACCCCTTCTGCATACGACGACGATGACTCGCCTAACGTAACTTTTAGTAGACATGTCAGTAACTTTTTTACGTACAATTTTAAGATGTATATTATTATTTATTTGTCTCTTTAAACGATAATAATATTAATATAATTAATAACATTAAAACTATTATAATATATGCGCCATTGCATTAAATTTTTACATCTTTCAAATTTTTGTTATTTGTATTATATTTATTTTTCACGGGAAACATTAGCCGTGGGTAAATAGTTGCCAATCGTTCACAGACAGAAAACACATCCAAGAAGTCTTTTCATAGTCTGTCTACGGATATTTGGGACCGTTTAAGCAAAGAGATAATTATTAATTATTCGTTTGAAAAAAAAAAAAGCGGTTACGTGTAGATAATGTGCATATTATTACAAGTTACAACATCCTGTACTGGGTGTTGTAAATTGTAAGTACCTAATATGTATTGTATGAAAAATATTTTTTTGTACGCGATTTGGACACAAGGTCGCCGATCTTACCTAATATTTATTTAATAAAGACTATTGTAATATTCGTTCAGACCATTGAGGCGATGACGCATTTACTGGGTGAGTGACTGACTGTGGACGAAAACAACACAATACGTACCTATTAAAAATATACAAACTTCAGACTATCGTATAATATATTATGATCAGTGTGGAGTGGAAGGTCGGCCACTTTTAAAATGACTGTGAGCTTGGGCTTATTCTTTAAGAGGAACCTATGCATATTTTGTTGTCTCCGTCTTGCACACGTACGACGGCAAATTTTCGCTCTCTGGTTTCAATATTTAGCTGTTAGCTTTTGACATTACAGTGAATTGACCTATTTTCAAACTTTTATGTAAGAATCATCTGTGCTGAAGCTTCTGGTTTTATTCGATCTTTTAATTTTTGATATTTCGCATGCTTGAAAAATATGCTTTGACAATAGGTCAATTCACTCTTAATATTGAAACTAGTGAACGAAAATGTGCTGTGTCGTACGTTTGTAAGACACAACAAACGCATGGTGTTAACATCCTCTTAAAATATTTACAAAGCGCATACCGAGGTTTATTCAAACCCAGACATTGTTGCCGATAGCCGATACCTATGTGTAAAAAGTGTTCGTGTATGGAGACTAAATGTCTATAGATTACGTAAGATATTAATTATTTGTATTTGCAAACATCAGGAGGGAGATTACTTAATAATTAAATAACGAAGGTTGCACCGGGATTTAGCGATATTCCTAAATACGTTTTACGTTTCGTCTAGACGGTTTATTTATACCTATTGAGATAGGCGTGTCCAGGGGCGGATTGGCGATTTTTTCGGCCCGCGAAATATAAATCAAAGCGACACTCGAACCGCAAATATAACCATTATTAACCCCCCCCCCCCCCAAAAAAAGCTGTTTTTTTTCTTTAAACCCATGCAATATAATGGTGTATCCTTAATTACAATTTCAACATTTGTTTGGTCTCTCCTCTAAATTAGTTAAATATTTAATAACTATTAACTATAATAATCTTGGGTTAGTCAGATAAGGTTAAGCTGCTCCGAACTTGAACCTAATACATTCTTAAATATTTTATATTTTGTAACCACTAAATATAAAAATATTTTGTATAGAAGTTAAAGTTAATTACATTTTCTAAACCTTTTATGGAAATATATTTTATTATATTTTTTGTCTTAAAAAGGCTTTATTCTATATTGTCTTTACGACTTAACTGTATATTGTACAATAACAAAATGTAATACACAGGTCACAATCATTAAGGCTGTTTTAAGTTGGTCGTTTTTTTTCGTGCATTTAAACCAATAAGCGGAAGAAAAGAATTATACTTTCAGAAGTCCAATTTTAATTTTGAAAAAAAATATTAGAATTCTTTATTCTCTTTTCTAGGTTATATAGAAAATGGATATTTTTATTATTATCACTAAAGTAAAGGTGAATTTTGAAAAAAAGAAAATTCCTTTGGTTCTATACTAATTAAACATAACAAAATTCAAAAATCCGTTTCCTACATAACTTAGAAAAGAAAATAAGTAAGTAATTAAAATATGTTTTCATAGTTAAAATCTGAATTTTTCTTCCGCTTTTTGGGACTTTTATGTTGAAATTTTTTTGATCTCAAAATATAGTGACCTGTGTCTATGAGGTACGTGACGGATTTCCAAGAATCTTAGCATAAAGTGTTTGGGGAACTTATACTCACATTAATGATCAGTAGCTTGGAAGTTGTTGGAGTCAGTAGCGTATCCAGAATTTTTTTTCGGGAGGGGTTATAATTTATTTTTGTGGAATTTTATCTTAAAATGATTTATTAATGATAACGTTGTTATAATTTAACAATTTTCGGGGGGGGGGGGGGGGGGGGTTACAACCCCCAAACCCCCCCTGGATACGCCACTGGTTGGAGTTGCATATTTTTCTGTATACTCTCAATTTATAACAGACTAAGCTAGAAATACATTCTATACAATTACGAGTTTAAGTTTTTTTTCCTTACATTTTCGCGTTACAAAAATGTTTTCAGACAACCGGCGCTCGTTTGATACAGAAAATATCAAGATCTAATCTAATTGTTCAATGCAATTATGCAATACCTACATTTACAGGATGATAGTTACACTTACAATAATCTATATGTTTATTGAATTAAAAAAATAAATATAAATTTTCTAATAACTTACATCCTATATTTTAATTTTTAGATTAAAAAAATTACAATCCCTAAAAATCAGCCAAGCAATTTTGAATTCAATAAAAACATTTTTTTTTTTTTTTTAGAAGAAAATATACAATCTATATCTTAGAAATAATAAGTATATGTGCGATAAGGGAAACAAACAATAGGGTGATATACATACATTTGAGGAAAGAAGCCACCCACTGATCACACTTTCGTCTTGGTTTAATCATAT